TAAGGTGAAAGGAGAGAGATTTAAAAAAAACATGAGGGGCCAAATGTTTTACACAGAAGGTGGTTCTTGTATGAAATGAACTTCCTGAACACGTGATAGATGTGGATACAATTAAAACATTTAAATAACATTTGGATAAGTACATGAATAGGAAAGGTTTGGAGGGATATGGGCCAGGGGCAGGCAGGTGGGACTGGTTTAGTTTGGGATTGTGTTTGGCATGGACTTGGTGGACCAGGAAAGGTATGTTTCTGTGTTATGTGACTCTGAGTCGTTGTCCTATTGTCGATTGAAGAAATACCCCAATCTGACATTGCAGTGTGGCCTTTTGCTGCCTGCAGTATACTTGTAGCTGATGGGGCAGCAGTTATTTTAGCCGCCATAACTTAATGATTTGATGTGGGTATCTGAAAGATACAGCAGAGTTTATTACAGCTCCTTTTCTCACTGTATACGATAGTCATGGATCCCTCAGCGTCTGGGCTAACATTAAGCCATTCAATTACAACAGTCGCACACTTCCATCCACACACCATGCTTCAAGTGGCCTCCAAAGGGAGACTGAGAGCCTAATACTCTCAGGCCACATGGTATGATAGGGTGGTGATACCACGAGCATGTCTCTTAAAGGTGTACTGCAGACTACCTGTGAGACATGACAAGACAATACCCATTTCTGGAGGGCTGACCAGTATGAAGACACAAAGGAGTAGGAGCGTTAGATGATGCCAAGACTGGATTTAAGAAGATTCCAGTCAGGGAAAACTGCAGGATTCCCCAGGTTCAAACGATTGAGGTAGACTGAGAGACAATGATTCCCAAGGCCAATACAGCAGGGTAGCACAGAGAGAGAGGCTCGCATTTCTGTAGTGCCTTAGGACATCGCAAAACGATCGACAACATATGAAATCCTTTCAAGTGTAGGCCCTAAAGCCATGGATGGAAATACGGCAACCAATTTCTGTACAGCAAGTTTCCACAAACAGCAATGTGATAATCAGGTTTTCATTGAGGCTGTTTGAGGGAAACGGGAGGAAGAAGAGTCACTAGGACAAAGGATTTGCACCTTTTCAGGAACAGCCATAGAAACCTAAGGATTTATTTCTGAAGTTGATATGTAAAGAACTGACTAGCATCAAATATTAGATTGTTGTGGACAATTCTGGTTGCCTTGTTATTGGGCATTTTCAAATCTCCTGAAAGGATGCTCAGTAAATCCAGAAGAATGTATGATAGTACAATGTAGGGTATGCAGGGTCGTTTGATCTTAGTAGGATCAGGACAACATCGTGGGCCAAAGGGCCTGTACTGTGCTGTACTGTTCTACATTCTATTTTCTATAGTGATAGCAGAATTGCAAAGTTCGAGCGACAAGAAAGCAGAGAACTAAGGAAGACTGGCACAGGTCATAAAAATGATGAAGGTTGTGAAGAATAGATACAGATGGAATGTTTCCTCTCATGGGGAAGACAGTGAAGACATTGCAAAGACGCTCTGAAACTATCCTTCAACAGCACTGACAGGAATCACTAAAGCCAAGATACTGTGGATGCTGGAAATCTGAAACAAACACAGAACGGTGGAGAAACTCAGTGGAGAGAAACACAGTTAACGTTTCGAATCCGATATGACTGTTCTTCAAAACGAGAGGGTTCTGAAGAAGAGTCACACTGGCCACAAAACATTAACTCTGTTTCTCTCTCCCCAGATGCTGCCAGACCTGCTGACTTTCCCCAGCATTCTCAATTGACATAAATGACTGGGAGGAGCTTGCTGTCGATCGTTCAAAATGTTGACAACTTGTCCATTGAGCTGCATCATGGTTGAGCCATGATGTCTGAACGATGAGACAAAGCATCAACAGAGAAGGAAAGAAATGGGAAGTGAATCCTGCCCTCTGGGTTCCAGGATCTCGGGGGATGTGCTGGTTACAAATCGGCCTGTTCAGATCCATGAAGACCCATGGCAGGAGCACTCAACGCTGAGCAGATGTCACCCTTGAGTGGACAGACAGCTAATGACTTTCATGGGGAAAAGAATAACGAGCATCCGTGAATGTAAGATGGTCACCAAGAAATCCGATCAGGAATCAGGAGAAATGGCTGCACCCAGAGTGTGGCAATTTTGTGGAAGTTGCTCCATCAGGGAGAGATTGGTGCAACTAGCAAAGCAATATTGAAGAGGAGGTTGAGATAGAGAGAGAGAGAGAGATAAGATACTGCCATAGCATTCAAGGCTATCACCAAGTGCTGGAAAGTGGAATTAGTGTAGATAGGTCGGTGCAGAATCAATGGGCCAAAGGGCCTGTTCTGTGCTGTATAACTCTATGAGAAATAAGGGTAGGCTTCCATTTATGGAGTTAAATGAGAAAGGAAAGGAGGAAGCTGCATAAATGCTGGTATGAACTGGTTGGGTTGAATGGCCTGTTTCAGTGCTGTACATTCAATGTAGTGCAATGTGATTTTACGTACAATTTTATGCCTTTCCATGGTGCCTTTACCATCCCATACCAACTTGACAGATGTGACATTGTAAATTTTGGCACTGAACTCCTCAAAGAGAAAATAGGGCAGCTGACCAAAAGGTTGCTCAAAGGGGAACACCTTCCAAGGATGGAAGAGGTGGAAGGTTCAGGGAGGAAATCACAGAGATTATGACCCCCAGGAAGATGAAGGGTCAAGGCTGGAGTGATGAAACTAAACAGAGATGTTAGAGAAGAAATTGAGAGAGGACAAGAGTGGCTATGGTTGAGTCAGAGAGGTTGGAGATTAAAAGGTCAGTCACCGATTGCAAAAATGCGGTTGTTTTTACATTGTATAAATGTTGGAGGAAGGCTGGGTGTTACTAGCAGATTCCACAGTCTGGATTTCCCCCCTTTTCCCCAACATACCAAGCAGGTCACCCAGTACCAGCTGCTCCTTTTAGACAAGGGGAATAAATGACAGGTTTCCAAACCAAACCTATTGGTGAGAGAGGAAGCAGGAGGCACAAGAGAGAGAGAGAGAAGAGCTGCATTCAGAAGAGACTAAGTTAAGAAAGTTAGTAACTCAGTAACTGAAGTGAAAAGACGTTCACTCAGTTTGATCACAAGGTCAAACAAAAACTGAAACACAAGTTGTTACAGATTCATAACATAAGTTCCCAGACCACAGCAACAGTACATTAGCTAAAGCTTTCATGAACATTGAAGGGTTGTGTCATTGTTGGACCCTCAATGTTCGTTGAAAGAAACTTTGTTTATTATCCTTGGCAACGCTTCATGTGGCATAGCTTGCTTTGCCATTCATTTCCTGAATCGGTTCCCCAGCTCAACTCCGCGAAATATAAGCTGCTGAGAAGGCCCAGAGCCTGTATTTTGTGATGTTTGTTTTGACGAGCTCCAAGTGTTACCCGGTTGAATGAAAGAAAAAAGTCAGAAGTTTTATTCTTGCATTTGAATTTCAGGATTCTCCATCAAACACTCCCAGGACAGGGAGAGCCCAGTGTTAGATACAGAATAAAGCTTCCTCTACCGTCAACAGCTTACAGTTGGACTGGGAAAATAAAGTTGTGAGTGAAACTCAAGAAAAAGAATTCATGGAATATCCGAGGGATGCAATGCCACTGTCAACATCCTTGTTTACCATTGACCAGAAAGTGAACTGGGCTAGCCATATAAATACAGTGGCTACGAGAGCAGGACAGAGGCTAGGAATACTGCAGCGAGTAACTCTCCTCCTGACTCCTCAAACCCTGCGTCTACCAGGCACAAGTCAAGTGTGTAATGGAATACTCCCCACTTGTCTAGACTAGTAAAACTCCAACAACGCTCAAGACAAAGCAGCCCACTTGACTGGTACCACATCCACAAACATCCACTCCCTCCACCACAGACGCTCAGTAGCAGCGGTGTGTAGTATCTACAAGATGCACTGCAGAAATTCACCAAAGATCCTCAGACAGCACCTTCCAAACCCACAACCACTTCCATCCAGAAGGACAAGGGCAACAGCTACATGGGACACCACCCCCTGCAAGTTCCACTCTGAGCCACTCACCATCCTGACTTGGAAATATATCGCCGTTCCCTCACTGTCGCTGGGTCAAAATCCTGGAATTTGCTCTCTAAAGGCACTGTGGGTCAACCCCCTATAGCACATGGCCTGCAGCGGTTCAAGAAGGCAGCTCACCCCCACCTTCTCAAGGGGCAACTAGGGATGGACAATAAATGTTGGCCCAGCTGACAATGTCAATGTCTCACCAGAAAATAAGAAAAAACACTTAAATCAAACACTCCCAGGAGAGGGACAGCCTGGGGTTAAATACAGAGTAAAGCTCCGTCTACACTGTCCCTATCAAACACTCCCAAGGCAGGGACAGTACGGGGTTAGATACAGAGTAAAGCTCTCTCTGCACTGTCCCCATCAAACACTCCCAAGGCAGGGACAGCACGGGGTTAGATACAGAGTAAAGCTCCGTTTACACTGACCCCATCAAACACTCCCAGGGCAGGGAAAGCACGGGGTTAGATACAGAGTAAAGCTCCCTCTCTACTGTCCCGATTAAACACTCCCAGGACAGGGGCAGCACGGGGTTAGATATAGAGTAAGGATCCCTCTCCACTGTCCAGATTAAACACTCCCAGGACAGGGAGAACATGGCATTAGAATCCCCTGAACATCTGCCAAGTCATGATCAGTTGCGATGATAGAAGAAAATATGGAATGTCGTGGTCCATATAATCACTTAGCTTGAGACTGATGATTAGACCCTGAAATGAAGCCAGTGAATGTGTTTTTTTTGATGAAGTGTATTAATGATAAATGAGAGTGTAGGCAGAATGTGAGCTGATCTCTGTGAGGGTGCTGAAGGGAGATGCCGCTGTGTACCAGTGAGATGTCTCAATTCGTCAGTTCTGATCAAAGATTATCAACCTGTTCACTCTGTTCCTCTCTCTCCATGCAGCCAGCCTTTGCTGTTTTGATCTCAAATCTTGTTTGCCTTTTACCATTCCTTCACAGATATTAGTCCACCGGCTCAAGGTGTGGATCACAGGCAAGTGCAGCGGGAACTGGGTGAAGTTATAGTGCACCTACATAACCCACTTGTGCTCACTCCATCCAGTATACAAGTCACATGGACGGTAAGCACCTCACCATTTTACGGCCTTTCCTCAGTCACAAGAACCTCGTACTGTCACTACCCACTGCTACAGTCAGGCATAGTCAGAATTGACAGGACACCAGATTATAGTCCAACAGGTTTATTTGAAATCACGAGCTTTCGGAGCGCTGCCCCTTCATCAGGTGAAGTCACTTGGACTTTACCTGGTGTCCTGTGACTTCTGACTTTGTCCATCCCAGTCCATCACCAGCGTCCCCCACATCATGGTTAGACATGCCTCTGAGAGTACAGTAGATCCTGCCTCTCACTCCAAAGTTTCAGGGGAAGCAAATCCCGCTCCAGAGACTTGGAACTCAAAATCCAGGCCGAAACTCTGACTTGCAGTATGGAGCTGCACTTTTTGGAGATGACGGATTTCAAACGGGAAATTGCAATCCGGCGCCAAACCCCTGACCGCTTCACCGACACTGTTAATGTTGTTAGTTCACAATGCTGGGAGTGGGATCCTGCTGCGCCCATTTTCGCTGCCATATTATTCCAGCAGTGAGCAGACCGCATTGGCTGTCAGTGCTGTGGGATGGACAAAGGCTATGAACAGGCGATCTCATTGGAGGGTACAGGATTGTGAAGGGGCTTTACAGGGGATCTACCGAGAGGCAGATTGCCCCTGACTGGGGAATGTAGACCATGAGGGTACAGTCTCAGAATAAGTATCAAAGATGCTAAAGAGGATTGACAAAGTGGACATAGAAAGGATGTTTCCTCACGTGGGGCAATCGAGAACGAGAGGTCATAGCTTTAGGATAAGAGGTGTCAAATTTAAAGCATAGTTGAGGAGGAATTACTTCTCTCAAAGAGTCATTTATCTGTGGAATTCGCTCCCTCAGAGTGTGGTGGATGCTGGGACATTGAATAAATTTAAGGAGGAGATAGAGAGTTCTTTAATTAGTAACAGGTTGAAGGCTTACAGAGAGCGGGCAAGAATGTGGAATTGAAGCCAAGATGAGATCAGCCATGATCATAATAAGTGGTGAAGCAGGCTCGAGGGGCTGAATGGCCTACTCCTGCTCCTAGTTTTTACATCCTTTTGGTTGAGTCTTGGACCAGAGGGCATAATCTAAGAGTAAGGTGTTGCACATCTAAGACAGAGATGAGGAGGAATTTCTTCTCTCAGAGGGTAGTGAATGTGTGGAGTTCTTTAGCACAGAGGGTTGTTAAGGCTAGATCATTAAGTATATTCAAGCCTGAGAGAGACAGATTTTTAATCAGGAAGGGAATCAGGTTTATGGGGAAAGGACAGGAAAACAGAGTTGAAGTTTATCAGATCTGCCACAGTCTCATTAAATGGCAGAGCTGACTTGATGGATTGAATGGCCTATTTCCACTCCTACATACTATGGAGATTGGGGCAAATCGATCAAAGAAATGGCACAGACACTGAAGACCAATGCCTTGCTCCTGTTCTGAGTGATGTCTGACCTCTCAAACTCCAGAGAGTCAGGTTATAATGAGGCCGCATCATCTTTGACTGAAATTTGGTGCTGGTCGGATTGAATCAGTTGTTGTCTTGAATTGTATGAATGAAAGCAAAGAATCTTACAGCTCAAAGGGAGATTCATCAGTCCATCCCTGTGAGAAGTGCTCAATAATTTACACTCCTGTCCTTCCTCCTTCATGCTAGAAAATCTCCCTTTCAAAAATCAGTCCAAGCCTTTACCATCCTTCTCAACACATTGTGCCCAAAAATTTTTAGGTGTACTCCACATCTTGATGTAGATAAAGCCAAGGATCCTGTGTTTGTTTTTCTGACAGCTTCATTAACGTGAGCTGCCATGTGTTGAGATGTGTTTACTTGCCTCCAGTCCCCAGTTATGGCCATACCATTTAGTTCACAATGTTTCTCCTTATTCTCCCTCTGAATGCTTTGGAAGGGGTTGGTTGACAGACAGATGGTCTCAGAATGATAGATGCTAAACGCTTTCTTTCTTAATCCAACACAGGTTGAGCGCCAGTCACAATTCATCCAGGGTTACCGTGTGATGTTCCGGCAAGTCTCTGGCCTCCCCAGCCCCTCGTCCTGGCAAGTAATGGAGGTCAAAGTGCCAACTGAGCGAAGCGCAGTTCTTAACAACCTGAAGAAAGGCATCACCTACGAGATGAAAGTCCGGCCGTACTTCAATGAATTTCAAGGGATTGACAGCGAATCCAAAACCGCGCGCACAACTGAGGAAGGTGGGTTGCACAAAGTGTCTGTGTTTCAATGTCTTATAGAAACTGCAGCCAGCTATTTCTTTCTAGAATTGGGCATCTTGCACCATTCCCCTTTAGTTAGACGCATTTCCCGTTCCCTTCAACTCAGATTTGTGTTACCCATTCTGTAACTTGCTGGATATCTGGAACAGGGCCATGGCAACAAGGAATCTGGGATCTCAATGAATAGAAGAATAATGTTTGTCTTTTTCACCATTGAGAGTTAAGCATTGAAAAAGAAGAAGACAAACAATAGGATGGAAATTGTATGAGTTGCTATGGATTATAGAGACCATATAGCAGAGAGGAGGAGGCAATGGCCAAGTGGTATTATTGCTGGACTGTTAATCAAGAGACCCAGGGAATGCCCCAGGAGCCAGGTTCAAATCTTGCTATGGCAGATGGTGGAATTTGAATTCAATAAAAATTTGGAATTAAGAGTCAAATAATTACCATGAATCCATTGTAGATTGTTGGGGAAAACCCCATCTGGTTCACTAATGTCATTTAGGGAAGGAAACTGCCATCCTTACCTGTTCTGTCCTATATGTGACTCCAGACCCATAGCAATGTGGTTGACTCTTAACTGCCCTCTGGGCAACAAGGAATGGGCAATAAATGTTGGCCTAGCCAGCAATGCCCATATCCCATGAATTAATTAAAAAAAAGAAACTGGCCATTTAGCCCAACTAGTCGATACTGTTTATGTTCCATTTGAACATTGTCCCATATTTTAACGTCTATGTCTACCATCGCAAGTTTATTTCCTTCTTGCTCAAATGCTTATCTAGCTTCCCTTAAATACATTGACACTGTTCATTTCAACCACTAGCACATTCTCATCACTTTTTACAAAAAGAGATTTCTTCTGAATTTCCTAATGGATTTCTTGGTGACTATCCCATGTTGGTGCTGTTCCCCAAAAGAGGCTGGGTTCTCTCTGTCTAAGCCTTTCAACATTTTAAAGACCTTTATTTACCCCAAACCTCAACAAAAATAGAAATTCATCCTATCAGTCTTTTCTGGTGTAATTCTTAAAAAAACCTTCTCTATATCCTCTCCAGTGGCTCTACATCTTTTTTGTAACATGGCAACCGGAACTGTACAGAGTACTCTAGGTGTTGTCCAAATAGAGTTTGAGTGTTTCAGTGTAAAATTTCCCTACTTTCCGAGTCTATCCCTCTGAAAATAAAGCCCAACATTAGTCAAATCAGTTACAGAAAGAGAAATAAAGAGAGGGAAAGAAAGAGGGAGAGACGGAGAGGAAAGAGAGACAAATTTCAATGTAAGAACTATAGAATTATTGAGTTACACAATGCAGGAGATCCCTTCAGCCCATCAAGTCTGTACTGATATAAAGCTACCCTAAATCTATACAAGTCCCATGTTCCAGCTCCAGCCCGTAGCCTTGAATGTCATGACATTTCAAGTGCTCATCTAAGTATTTTTTAAAAGTTGCAAGATTTACCACCTCAACTACCCTCCCAGGCAGTGTATTGAAGACCCCCACCACCCTCTGGGGGAAATGTTTTTTCCTCAAATCTTCTCTGAACATATCAGTTTTGGCTGAAAATTATGTCCCCTTGTTATTGGCCGTTCATCTGAGGAGAACAGCTGCTTTCTATTCACTCGTTCACGCCCCTCATAATCTTAGACACATATATATATATATATAAAATTGACTTGATGCTAGGAGACAGAGGGTTTTGGTGAAGGGTTATTTTTCGGACTGGAGGCCTGTGACCAACGGTGTTCCACAGGGATTGGTACTGGGTCCTCTCTTGTTTGTCATTTATATAAATGATTTGGAAGAAAATGTAAGAGGCATGGTTAGTAATTTGGTGGTATAGTCGACAGTGAAGAAGGTTATCTAAGATTACAAAGGGATATTGATCAACCAGGTCAATGGGCTGAGGAGTGGCAGGTGGAGTTTAATTTGGATAAATGTGAGATATTGCATTTGGTAAAACAAACAAGGGCAGGACTTCTACAGTTAATGGTAGGGCCCTGGGTAGTGTGGTCGAACAGAGAGACCAAGGGGGTTCAGGTGCATAATTCTTTGAAATGTTTGTCACATGTAGACAGGGTGGTTAAGAAGGTGTTTAGCACACTTGCCTTCATTGCTCAGACCACTAAGCACAGTTCTGAGGGTCACCAGATCTGAAACGTTAACTCTGTTTTCTCCTTCACAGATGGTGCCAGAACTGCTGAGCTTTTCCAGCAACTTTGTTTTTGTTCCTGATTTACAGCATCCGCAGTTCTTTTGGTTTTTACAGGAGTTGAGACGTTATGTTGAGGTTCTGTAGGATGTTAGTGAGACCTCTTCTGGGATATTGTGTGCAGTTCTAGTCAGCCTGCTGTAGGGAGAATATTATTAAATTGTAGATGATTCAGAAAAGATTTACCAAAATGTTGCTCGGATAGAGGGATGCAGTTATAAAAATAGGCAGGATAGGCTGGGACATTTTTTCACTGGAGTGCAGGATGTTGATGGGTGACCTTAGAGAAGTTTATAAAATCATGAGGGGCATAGATAAGATGAATGACAAGGGTCTTTTCCCAAGGGCAGACGAGTTCAAAACTAGGGGGCATATTTTTAAGGTGAGAGGAGAACGTTTTAAAAAGGACATGAGGGGCAACTTTTTTACACTGAGAGTGGTTCATGAGTGGAATGAACTTCTAGAGGAAGTGGTTGATGCAGGTACAGTTACAACGTTTAAAAGACATTTTGATAAATACATGAATAGTAAATGTTTGGAGGGGTATGGGCCAAATGCAGGCAAGTGGGACTAGTTTTGTTTGGGAACATGGTCGAATTGTACTGAAGGATCTGTTTTCTTGCTGTATGACTTGAGGAATCTATGACTCTATCAGGTCCTCACTCAAACTTCTATGCTCTGAAGGAAACAACCTGAGCTTATCCAGCCTCTCTTCATCGTTAAACTGCTCCATCCCAGGCAACATCCTGGTGAATCTCCCCTGCACCCCCTCCAGTGCCATCACATCCTTCCTATGGTGAGGTGACCAGAACTGCACACAGTACTCCAGCTGTGGCTGAACCCATGTCCTGTATGTCTCCAATAGAATGTCCCTGTCCTGGGAGTATTTGACTGGGACAAGGTAGAGGAAGCTTTACTCTGTATCTAACCCCTTGTTGCATCTGTCCTGGGACTGTTTGATGGGGACAAGGTAAAGAAGTTTTATTCTGTATGTAACCCTGTGTTTTACATGTCCCGGGAACGTTTGATGGGGGCAGGGCAGAGAATGGTTAATTTTGTGCGGAATCTGTGCTGTTTCCAGACCTGGGAAGTTTTACTTCTGACAGAGACTGGCGGGAATGGAATGGGATGCATTACCCAGCATTAATATCCGTCAGCTTGACAAGAACAAGACTGACATCTAAAAAGAAGCAAAAACTTTCTGGTGACTTAGTATGCAAGAGTGCAGGTCCCACTGTGCTGAAATACACCATCAATCATTCCTGGGATGTATTTGTACATTCTCTGAATGTGTCAGAACACATAGGGGCTTTGCACAAACCATACCCAGTGGCCCACACCACTCACTAGCTCACAAAATATCGTCTTAAATGATTGCTAATGGTGTGGGGATAACTGTTGTAATGATTGAGCTATCCCCCAGGTAAACTTGTCTAATTATCGCTGAGTGGCCTACAATACTCATGATGGAAACGTAGCTCACTTGCAGCAGGCAAAATGCCTGCTCCATTTGCCCCTGCACCCTTCCGCTTGACCCCCTGGTGGAGTTGAGAGGGCACTGGGGCATCTGGGACTGACAGCGCCAACATTCTGTCTGCTACACTGAAGGGGTTTCAGGTTTGGGAAAGAAACAGATGGTTGATGGTGAATTAATCAGGGACAGAAATATCAGATGGAAGTGGGAAAGCATGGATCGAGGGAGAGAAACGCATGGTATATGTACCTCACCAGAAGTTGACATCAGTTCTGTCGAAAGGCTGGAGATGCTGACCCTAATCTCTTTTTTGCAAAGAGAACATGAGTACAAGATGGGATCAAGGTGTGCAAGATCATTTTCTCCAGCACCCTCATTCCCCACTGGAAGGTGTTATTTCTATAGGGACACAATTACTCTGATATCAGTGACCTGGAGAGGGGTATAGTGTGTACCAGCAGGTGAGAGGTAAAATGGTACCATCAGCAGGTGAGGGTATAGTGTGAGTGACCTTTCCCTTCCAGCCTTTGGTGACACAGCTGAGTAGAAATTGCCGATCCAATGCTGTGAATATTGTTTGTGTTCCATCTCAGTTTGCGTTTTCATCAACAGTCTTTTAATTTGGACGAGTGTGATGCACATTTGTCTAACTGCCTGGGCTCACCTCGACACAACACCATTTATTGCTCACTGTCTTGGAAAAAATGGCTCAGTCAATAACTGACCTGGCCTCAACCCCAACATGAAAGTGAGTTATGCAATTTGTACTCAATTATTGCCTCTCTCTGTTTCTACTTCTCTTTCTCTGTCACGTCCTCCACCTAATTTCATCTCTCATTTCTTTTCAGACGATTCTCTTCCTTTCTCCCTCACACCTTTTCTACTATATTTCTTTTTGTATCCCTTCTTCCCTCTCTGCTTCTTTCTCCGTCCCTCTGTATGTCTCTGTATCTGTCCTGCCCTCCCTTTTTCTTACCTCTCTCTCCATCAGTGCATTCCTCCTCTCTCTCTCTCGCTTATTCTCTTTGTGTTATCCCTGTTAGCTCTCTCCGTCTATTTTCCCTTCCAGCTCTAACAGCTTTTCCTTCTTTCTCTTTCTCTCTTGTTCTTTCTTCTTTCCATTTCTCTGTTCCCGCTCTGAGTAGCACCACAGGTACCGGTCCTCCCCCCGCTCCTGTACCCCCACCTCTGACCACACCACTCATGGCCATCATCTCTCCATTCCCTGTTGTTCTGGAGTTTTCCATATGTACACGTCTACCCTCTCAGTCCCATTACCTGCTCTTCCA